CTGAAGTTACGTTTTTTTTTGTAAAATATTAAAAAAGAGGGGAAAAATTTGTCTGCCGCCGCAGTTTTCGTCGCGCGAGCCCGGGTTGGGGCGAAAAACCGTCCGCGCCGCGCGAGTTCGGCGCGATAACGATAACTGTTGCACTATCGATCACGCGGCGGATGCGCCTGTGTACGTGCGGAAGAAAGAACGGCGACGAGATGGTGGTGTATACGCGGGGGCGATGGGACGCGATCCACACGCGCGTTGCCGCATAAAATTGCAGAGCCCAGCAGCAGCACCAGCGGCGCGGCGCCGCCGAGCCGAGATAGCTGCAAACAGACGCGAGTTAATTTAAAAATGCAAATTCCACCACGGGTCCCTCTGCCGTTCCGAGGGCGGACGTGGCCGGGGGAAAAAAAGAGGGCTGGCGGAGAAGAAAGAGAGGGAGAGAGGAAAAAAGCGCAGCGCGAGAGAACACGGCGAGTAACGCGCTGAGAGAAAGGGAATTTTGCTATTTACGGTGCCGCCATAAATCATAGCGTTGTGAATGTCTGTCTGATTCGCGGCGCTGCGTGTGAGCTTTATTTATACGTCGTCCAATTTGAGCAAGTCCGATTGCGAGATAGCGCGGTTCCTCCGCCGAAAAAATTCGACGGGGACAATCCGCGGTAGAAGTGCGGTAAACCGGCGGCGCGGTTTGTATCGAATAAATAAAAGAGAGAAAGAAAAAAACACGCGAGTATACCATCCTGGTGCTTTTATGATTAAAATTTGTGCAAGTATAATTTGAACAAAAATTCCTCTATATCTGGAAAGATACCCGATGCCCTGTGTGTGGAAGCGCAATATCGACGGACGGCTTGTTTTCATCGAGGCAGGTATCGATTTCGATAAAGCCACGTAAAAAAAAAAATCGACCGGGGGTCAAAACACGCGGATATCTGCGTTACTGTGGCGCGGCGGTGATAAAAATTCACGCGCACACTAATTGCCGGTATGACGAATGCACCGGTTGACCCAGTGACACGTACGCGCCGAATTCCGCGAACCGATTACCGCTGCCGTCCCGCGTCCGACGCGATCATAAAAAATTCCATGCATTCGCGAGTAAGCTGCGACGCGCTGTGTAGCTGGCAAGCCAACGGGTGTCCACCCAAAATTACGCTCGCGATTCGGACCCCGCCATGAATATCTCTCGGCTAATTAAATTAATCTTCTACCGAGCGGAAACGAAAATCGCGATCGGACATCGATTATTCAGGAATATTATAGTCTTGAGCGAGTTCAAAATCGCGGGACAAGTGTCAAGATAGTTTAATACCGTGGATGTTTATCTGTTCGGAAATTGAGTTTGAAGACTTAATCGCGTCGAAGAATGAGGTTCGTTCGAGATCTACATGATGTCATCGCGATGGATGTCTCGAGGGGAAAGGCAAATACCACAAAACCGATAAGTCTTGGTTGGAAACACCAAGACGGGGCTTGTACGGCCGGTTCGTTGTAACGTCAGTCTCAAAGTTGAAACACAGAGAGTATTGTCTTTACGTTTCCGTCGTGCTTCGACGGTCGGAGATTCGCCGATACGAGACGCATTAGTCGAACGTCTCCGCGTCGCGGCGCAAAGCCCCGCAATGTCCGTCAACCACGAGCATCCCCCTCAGTCGACGGTATCGAGTCGTCCCGATCCACGCGGAATCCCAATTTCCCGACGTCTCTCCGTTCCGACGCGTTCCTTCGAGAGACGACGAAGACACTGAGAGCCACTGGGTGCAATCTTGTACCAGCTGGGGTTTGCGGGGTCTTGGGAGACGCGACTCCGGCTCGTAACCTTCTCTCTCAGGATCCTAGCCACGACGACGACGACGACGACGACGGTGGAGTGAGGAATAGGGAAACAGGCACCACAGGCAGGCAGGCAAGCAGGCAGGCGGACGAGGGACGGGGGTGGTTGGTCGACGTAGGGTGAGAGCGCACGAGTGGCAGCGGCAGCAAAGGGTGAGAGACGGCGTAGAAAAGGAAAGAGGAGAGAAGGAGCCGGAGAGAGAGAGAGAGAGAGAGAGGACGGTGGGTGGTCGGTCGGTGGCTTGGGATATATCCGTAAGGTTAGGGTGGTTGAGTTGAGACGAGGCGCCGTGGCGAAGGAGTCGCTCACTCACTTACCACCCTCATGGCTGCGACCGCCAACCCCAATACCATGCACACGGCCAAAGCCGTCCCCCGTCCGTCTCCCCCCTACCGTCACCCGCTCTCTCGTCTCTCACCCTTGAAAGAGCCACCCCTTTCTGTACTTGGGTGCCTGCTGCTGCTTGCCAAGTTGCTTGCCTGCCTGCCTGCCTGCCTGCCTGCCTGCTTGCTTGCGGACCAAGTCGTCCCTAACACTACAAAGTCTATATATCTACGGTATACCCGCAGCTCCTCCTACATTCCGCCGCCTCCTCCTCTATCTCCTCGTCTTCCCCTGAGGTACCAACCCCCATATTGATCGTGGCACGAATCCTCTTTGTGGGAGAGGGTGATATGGATAGCCGACGGGATAGGTGTAAGTAAACTTACGTGAATGGAAGGCGGGCCGCGTGTATATCGTTTCTTCGCGGAGGTACCTATATACCCCCGCATCGCGTATGTGTATATATTGTATATGTATGCTCGGTACATACACTAATGCAACACGAGCGGGCAACGAGAAAGCGAGGGAGAATAGAAACGGAAAGCTCTCGCGAAACGACATTGCGAGCTATCGGCGCGGCGTCTCGCGACGGGGTGGGAGAGGAAAGGATGCGCTTACCCCCTGAAAGACGAGACTTCCGGGTACATACTTACTAGCGGTATCGACTGTGGACAAGAGATGGTGTGTGTTTCCGCATGATTTTCCAGGGAACTAAATCCAATCGCGATTTCCTCGTGGAGTCGTTTTACTGTAGTTGCTATATTCCATTTATGTTTCATTCGAGTATATTTCCTCCATTTTAATAATACCATTATACCAATAATTATTAAATTAGATATATAATGCCCACAAATATTTTCATTCTTTTTTTTCGACCGAAAATTATCGTGCGTGAAAAAATATTTGCAACTGATTTAGAGTGTGCGAACGATGAAATGATAAAAAGAAAAAAACTCATCGAGAATGACGTGTAGCGCGAAATGTTTTTTTTTTTCTAAATCATTGATAAAGTTTGTCTAAATCCTAAGATTTTAAGTCATAATGGCACGCCTTATTTTCTCGCGAATGCGCGTGTCAAGCGCTGTTTTTCTCGCCAGATTTTCCTTTTCCAACGACACGACAGTCGTCTTATCCGCTTCAGTGGACTCTGGTCGGATAAGCAATGACCGACCGTTTCCGGATAACGAGAGGACGTCTTTTCGGAGGAAAAAGATCCCTCTTTCTCTCAGGATTCTTTCGCGAAGAAAACTCGAAAGAGAGGCTCGTAATACGGCTCCCGAGGGATCCTTTTCTTACCGAGAATCTTTCATGACGTGAGCGGAGCGCGTGTTTGCGAGACCTTCCCGCCCCCACCCCCTCTCCCGGCTTTTGTCTTCGCTTTTCTTCCCGTCAGTCGCTATATCGTCGTCGCGAACGAGAGAACATGCTCCCGCTCGATTTTTCCGCGTCGCGGCGTTTCATACCCGTTCTCGCCGATTCATTCTTCTCCCGAGCGATTTCTCGACGATGTCTGACAAGACACCAGCGCGATATCGCTTATTCTCCGTGCGGCATGTAATTTTGTACGTTAATCGCCCGGATATACTCGCGCGAGCGCATTCGTATATATCTCAAGATCCCATTTTTTTTGTGTTTTCTTCCACCCGAAACGTTTCGGTCGACAGGCGAGAGATGATACCGAGGCGTCGAAGTAATGGTCCGAGAGAGCCCGGCGTCGCTGGTAGTGGTGGATGAGGGACGAAGGGTAATTGAGAGAAGAGGAGATTTACTTCGACACCGGCGGCGGTGGCTGCGAGGGGATGCGACAGGGTGGTTTACGGGTTTGCAAAGATGGGGTGCACAGTTATCGGGGACAGGGAAAGGGCTCTGCCGCACTTATATTACATACACCAAGCATGCGGACGATGTCGCGATGCTCTGTCGGCCGTATCGACGACGAAACTGCCGCTCGTAAAAGCTTCCGGTCGATGATACCTCTGACTCGGGGATCCCGAGCGAGCATTTTGAAAGATGCATCTTTTCACGTTTTATGAAGATTGTCAGCGTTGATGATCTTCCTCTCAATTTTACGCGATCGCGTCGAAGTAGGAAGAAGAACAAGGTCTCGGCGTAGCGATAAGCAATCTTCGCGTTGTTCATCAATGTCTATACGATTCTTATTTCATATTTACATTTCTCATATTAAAACTTAAAGTCTTCTCTGGCTGATTAAATTTCTCGAAAAAGGGTTTATTCTCGGGTTTATTTCAATTCATATATAAGCGATTATTGAAGAGGCGCGATGAAATAAAAAAAGGAGCCGATAAAACGCCTAAGAGTACTTTCAAGTACTTTCGCATTTGGAAATGCATGCCGATATTTTTCTCGGCACTCGTGCATAATACGATAGAAAAAAAAAACAGGATTCTACGATCCGCTCTATTATTCTTCGTTTGCCTCGGAGCGAAATGGAGGTCGTACGGGTCAGGAGGGATAAGTAATTCCGTCGATGCCTCTTCCACCCGTCCGACGGAAAGGTCGTTTTATTTAATCGCGAAGGAGGTAGGAAGGAATTTAGTCGTTCTACCCTCCATCCGTTCGACCATCCCCTCGGTGGCGCAAGAAGTCCTTCGTTCCCGATACTTTTCCGTGGAAATCTATCGAGGAGGTAAAATCCGGCGCAGCCCGTAAAAATCTTGGACGAATAAATCCTGTAAATCTCCGTAATCGGATTAACCGCGCTAAACGAGAGAGCGGATCGTATCTTTCGCGTTAATAAGGAATTCTATAAAAATCATAACGTCCTCGTTGAACGACCCCGTTAAAGATCCCCGGATCTTAAACGCTGAATGTCGATCGTCTTTTGTTGCAGAGAAACTCGATATCGCCGGCAGAACGGGAGAAGTACAGACCGCGCAGCAACCCCGATCCTCAGCACGAACATCTACTGGGGAAGAAGCTGAAAAAGGAGCAGGACAAGGACATAGGCCATGTAGGTATCTAAGATTAGTGCTCCATGCTCCATGCTCCGCGATCCGCGGTCGTCCGTCTTAATAAAGCCGTGCGTGTTCTCCCCGACAGCAAAGCGATGGTGAAAAGAGCGACCAAGACCTGGTGGTCGACGACGCGAGCGAGGGTCCGACCAGTCCGGCGGCGAACGGCACGGCGTCGCCGCGAGAGAACGGTCTCGACAAGTTGGGCCCGTCCTCGGTGCCTCTAAGCGGCCAGGTGAAGAAGGAGGTACCACCCCCGTCACCCAGAAGTGGCACCAGCAGCAACGCGAGCACGCCCTCGGCCAAGAAGATGGAAGAACGCGAGAAACCGACGACACCGATCTCGAAACCGGTCACACCGACGTCGGCAGGTACGGAATTATTCGAGATTTTTCAAGAGCCAGAATAAAGACTGGATATAAAGGAAGAAAGTTTTGAGAAGTAATCGAGTTTGATCGACGATATCGTAGGTAGCAGTTCCGGCTCCGGTGGCCTGAAACCATCGAGCTCCAGCAAACCGTTGGTCTCGGCTTCAGTGGTCGGCCCTTATCCGCCGCACTATCCGCCACCACATCATCCGTCCGCGGGACCTCACGTGGACATGCTGGGTTATCCCCAGGCGGCGCTCAACGGTGGTTACCCCACGAGACCACCCCTTCAGCAGCTTTACGATCCTCATGGCAGCATGAGAGCACCGCTCGGACCGATCATTCCTCCCGGTGGTAAACCGTGAGTGTTCTTTCCTTTCCTAATTCGCTGTCGTCTGTCTCATCCGCGCGCCACCTTATCGCATATACATATAGAATATCGTTTGTCGCTGTATCGCTATTTATGAGATGATGTTTTTTTCGTAGCAGTGCATACAGTTTCCACGTGTCCAGCGAAGGGCAGATGCAGCCGGTGCCGTTCCCGCAGGACGCTCTCATCGGCCCGGGCATTCCGCGTCACGCACGTCAAATAAACACGCTCACTCACGGTGAGGTAGTCTGTGCCGTGACAATCTCAAATCCGACCAAATACGTCTACACCGGCGGCAAAGGCTGCGTCAAGGTGTGGGACATTAGTCAGGCTGGCAGTGCTAGCGCGAAACCTGTCTCTCAGCTCGATTGCCTCCAACGGGACAACTATATCAGGTCAGTGATGGTAACACGTGTCTTCATTCGCAATTCGTGACACATTAACTCCCGCATCGAACGCTATATGCGGTCGATGTAATTAATTTCTGACTCTGAATTCTGGATGACATTTAGTCGTGTCCGCCGGCTGTATATCACGTCGAAGCAGCGCGGCATCGATTTATCACGTGCATTTTCCGTACGCATTTACCACCCTTCCCGACTTCCTCCCTCTCTCTCTCTCCTCGCGTACCGTAGAACCGCGTCGCGCGACCGTAGTAATTATTTAAAAGCGCGCATAAGTGGCGGTATTTAATAGAATTAATGTAACGCGACACTCGTTGTTCGTGTCATTAGGTCGGTGAAACTGTTGCCAGACGGCAGAACTCTGATCGTGGGAGGCGAGGCGAGTAATCTCAGCATCTGGGATCTGGCAAGTCCGACACCGAGAATCAAAGCCGAGCTGACCTCCTCGGCGCCGGCGTGTTACGCCCTGGCCATCTCGCCGGATTCGAAGGTCTGCTTCAGCTGTTGCAGCGATGGCAACATCGCCGTGTGGGATTTGCAGAATCAGACGCTGGTTAGACAATTCCAAGGTCACACGGATGGCGCGTCGTGTATCGACATCTCCGCCGACGGGTCGAAACTGTGGACAGGTGGTCTCGATAATACTGTGCGATCCTGGGACCTTAGGGAAGGCAGGCAGTTGCAGCAGCACGATTTCACGTCACAAATATTCTCTTTGGGATACTGCCCCACCGGCGAATGGTTAGCCGTGGGTATGGAAAATTCGAACGTCGAAGTGCTCCATGCCACGAAGCCTGACAAATATCAGTTGCATCTGCACGAATCTTGCGTGCTGTCGTTACGTTTCGCTTCGTGCGGCAAGTGGTTTGTCTCTACTGGCAAGGACAATTTACTTAATGCGTGGCGCACGCCATACGGTGCCTCGATTTTCCAGGTTAGTATCACATATCATCGCAAATTGCGGATTTTGTTTTGACGCCAATCTTGCGCGTGATCCGTTATTGTCGCTTTTCTCCGAGTATAATACTGTAAACGTTTCTTTTCTCTTTTTCCAGTCGAAAGAGTCGTCTTCGGTGCTTAGCTGCGATATTTCTACGGACGACAAGTACATTGTGACCGGATCTGGCGACAAGAAAGCCACCGTCTATGAAGTGATGTATTGAGCCACGTATTGGCTTGATGATACAGTCTGACAGATATATAACATCGATTGAAGTTTCTCGTGACATTAAGTGTGATTGACTCATGACGGAGGAATTAAAAAAAAAATAGTTTTTTTTACTCCTTAAATGTGACTTGAAGCATCAGCTGTACGGCGAATTATGAAGTTTAACAAGAATTGATAAGACTTGATCGATGTACTACGGTCGCTACATTCAGAAACCGAATTAAATTTTACATTTCCGTAATCCAAAAAAGAAAACTAAATTATATTCGAGGGATATAGTATATAAATTATGGGGATATATAAATATATATATAAAGATTGCAGCATTTAGCTGTATAAGATTGTATAGAACTTAATAATCGTAAGTAGGAGATGAAGTGAATGGATTATGAGAGAGAAAAAGAAAGAAAGAGAGAGTACGTATGTGAGACAAATGCGTGTAAGTACCCTCCGTCTGTATTTAGCGTGGGAGGCGATGATGAAGTCGCTTGTGTAATATGTTACTGATGTAATATAGAATCTTTATAATTAGGTCCTTTTGCACGTGATCGTGAAGGAAACGAAGCGAAGAATTAAGCGCATTTCGTCGGGTGAGGTCGTTCTGTTGCGATAACGCGAAAATTCGCAGCGACGAAACGAACCGCCGCGGTGAAATACCTGAATACGTACGGAATGCTGATCTAGTGTTGTAGACTTGTCAAAGTAGGGATGTATGTTGTGTCGCAGAATTATACATAATATATTGAGCACACATGTAGACAGAACGTTTACGTCATGTAGCGGAGAAACTGTAGGGCTATGAGAAACCGATGAGTATCGATCACGCTAACAGTTGTTGAACGTACGCGACGCTGCGTTCGTTCGGTATCGAAGCCAGTGATGTGATCTTTGACATTTCTACCACCGATAAGAGGAATAATTTGTACTTATTACACCTTCAGTTTTAAATACGGTTCTTTTATAATTATATGGCACTGTTGCGTCTGCCGTTAAGACTTTATTGTAATTGAGATTTTATAAAACGTGTCGATGAAGAAGGACGGTGATAAAACAAAGAAAAAAAAAGAATAACGACGAAAGATACTTTTCGATCTTTTGCGGTAATTATGAAACTGGCTTTCATACGCCTGTTAAGGTGCCTTTTCACGTTGACGCTCGATCGGCTCAACGCTCATTTTCAGTGAGCAAAAATCTTCAGAAATAATATTTTTATTTATATATATATTCGTAAAATATTATTACTTGAAGATATTACTTGAAAATAATTAATATTTTACGTATTTCGAAGCCTATTTTTGATTGTACTGAGACGATTCAGCGTCAACGCTGGATGTTGAATATTCAGCTTTATTTCTTGACGCTAGCGTCAAAGCGAAACCACGTGACCCTAGAAATAATATTTTTTACTTATTTATATTATATAAATAAATTTATATATATATATATGAATAAAATATATTATATTTGAAGATTTTTTTCTCGCTGAAAATGAGCGTCGAGCGTCAACGTGAAATGGCACCTTTACGAGTGGTATCGAATACAAATAGGAACTCTATAAGTTGCGCCGAACGCGCAATCGGATACTTGATACAATGTACATTGTTTGCGAGTCTTGACTGCCATAATAGGCATATACATACTACGCACACGCATATACGCGTAAACAAACACGAACGAGCGGACCACGTTCGTGGGCGGATTTTGCAGAATATTCGATAAAGTATTTTTGTGACTAATTCATCGTGAGACCCTAGGCTTAACCATCGAGCAAACCCGGTCGAGCGTGATCGACCACGCGCGCGTCTGCATCGACGACTGCAGAGACGAGACGATATATGTAAAATGAGGCGAAACACACACTTGGATTCTTACAACCGCCCTTCGGTGCAGGTTACAAAGCCGGAGGTGTGTGCATCTGGACTTTTAGGGTACTAGCTAGCGCATTATTATTCGGAGGCCGTATGGTGAAAGCGGGTGATGCGTAATGGAGATTTATATTTTGTTACAGGAAGGCACATACAATTACACACACACATGTTGACATCCGCTGTGACCGTCCGAAATTCAAAACGCCACAATAATATAATAACTGCCGCGATAAGAACTTTGCATTGTAACGTGGTTTAGCATTCGCCGGTCGCGGAATTGAACCGGATGAACGTACCCTCGATTTTGGACGATCGCAGCCCCCCGTTCATATAGACCAATAGAGAAACAACGATACCTCAAGAAGACTCAATAGTTAATTATCTCTAATCTCATCGACTTGTACAGAATCGATATTCTTTTACAGTTGAATAACACACGCACCGTGAAAAAAGAAAGCATTACGCGAGACAAAAAAAAAGATCGCATAGCCACGACAATGATTGTACCCTGCCTCTCCCTCCATTCCTCCCCTTTTCCTACCTACCCACCCTTTCCTCCATCGAGAACCGTAATACCGTTGAATTTGCGTCTCCGTGCTCGCATTTTGCACTCCGCGAAAGCGTACGAAAGCCGCCGTGGGAGAGAACATACGTTCGTAATAAACGGAAGACAGGCAGCGTTAATCTTTTTCCAAGCACTGTTCAAGTTGTTCCTATAGCTACGCGAAAATTGTTTCTTTCGGCAATTAAATCCTCTATATCTATATATACAAAGGGTTGACGTCATTGCGCTCGCCGACCTGTTCTCCCGATCCTTCTAATCTTTGTGGAATCTCATAAAAATCTCGGAAATAGAAGCAATGATATTGGAAGCATTTTAATCTCGAAACCTTCGATTTGATAATCTGAGGTCTTCATTAATATATTCGATGTTAACCCTCTGTGGGCGCGTGGGGTGTACTTTACAGTCCACAACAGCTTATAAAAAATAAATTTATTTCGAAGGATTCACTTCAATACAGAACAAATTATCGAAAGAACATTTAAGATTAAAGTATGTGCAACAAATGAATAATATTAAACGGAATGATTGATTTAATATTCATAGCATAAATATAATGTGGGGTATAATTTACACCTAAGCGTTCACTGGAGGGTTAACAGTGAAATTTTGTGACAACCAACGATTCTCGCGCAACTTTTATTAGGCAAATTTTCCTTAATAAATGTTCAGAGATAAATATCAATGCAAAAGAATTCTAAAATTTGAATACATTCGTCAACTGAAAAGAATCCTTACAAGTAGGTACTGATAAAACGATACAAGACGGTATATATCTAATCTCAGAAGAAATTTCTGAAATAGAATTAGCACTTGAAAATAAAAACAAATTATTTAAATTCGACGATTCACTCAGGATCGACTGAGGGAGACTTTAGTAAAGAACGAAACTTTATCGAGGAGTACAAGAGTTTAATTGAAAGCAACCATTTGTAGAAGAAAAGAATTATTTTATTATCGCATCTATGTCCGCGTCTTATGCTCGTATTAGAATTTCATCTCGCTTTCAAACGTAGAAATCTCTCACGTGTTCAATGAACTCCGCGCAGAACGATGCGGAACGGGAGTGTGCACGTGCGTGACGCGCGCACGTGCATTCTGTTTACCGGGAGGTGCTGCCTCTGCCGGCGACTCGTTGAACTACGTACCGTCACTACCGTCGACGCGCACGACGCTTCAATATGGCCGATAGTGAGGCTGCGGCACGATTACGGTACGTTCGCGGCCGTAATTATTTTCGGAGGATATTCGCGCGGTGTAAAGACAGAAACCCGCAACGATGAACATGTCCGTGGAGAAGAAGAAGTACCCCTCGGCGTTACCGATCAATTGGCCCCCGAGGGAAGAACCGTCGAGGAAGAGTCAGAATCAATTGGCTTCCCCGGGGAAGGATTACTATTACAAGTAGGTTGAATAAATTTTCGAGAGAAAGATTCGCTCGATTTCACGTAGATGCGCGACGCGCGATTCTTCTCGGACAGATATTTCAGTTTGAGAGTAATTTTCATGGACGCGGACACGCAGGTTCTCAAGCGCTGCGAATCGTTAACCTCGATGACAGCTATCGTCTGTTGACTAATGACGCGCGGCTTTGTTTTCAGCCGCGGTGTCAGGATCAATGACGCGACTCTGGTGCCGCCGATCAGGCAAACGGCGTCGATTTTTAAGCAACCGGTGACGATCTACAAGACGCAAGAGGGCAAGGTGAAGGATGTCAAGCATTGCCCTCAGGAGAAGCCGAAGCAGGTCAGTTTACGCAGCAAATTGCGGCTGACTGTACGCTAATTGGACTATCGAACACCTTAATGTGTCAATGAATCGAATCCTTTTGGTACACCGTATCCCCATCTATTCACATATGTGATATAGTCTAATATAGTCGCACACTTATAATCTTATGAGTATATTCATGGATTTATTGTCTTATATATATATTGTCTTGTATATGGAAATCTTTCTAATCCCTGTATCCCTCATGCCTGCAAAATACACTTTGTCTGCTTACACCCATTCACTTGTATTGCTCGTTGTTAGCTATCCTTGTAAATTCACAACTGTCAAATCGTTGCTTTAGGAAGGAGCCGATAAAACTGACGGCAAGTATGGCTCCCAAGATAAGCCTAAGCAGGTAACTCTGAACATGCAATCATGAAATTGTCAATAGTTTTTGTTTTTTTTTTCTCTCTGTTACGTTTTCAGTGGCAAATGTTATTGATTATCAGATCTTAATAATAACATTAAAAGCCAATCTTTTTAACATATAAAGACAAGTGGAGAAAAGTGTCTTATAGTTATACCATCCCAATTTTTGTTTGAGTAGAAATATGAGTTATAATCGGTGGTGGTTGGTGGTGGTACTCAATAAAAACGTTTATATGTTGAAACTTATATGTTGAAATAATTTAATTTCATGTAATGAGATATTTGTAACTTGTATTATTTTTTTATTTTTTTTTTTTGTAGAATAGCGTATGCTGAGTATAAGACGATTAATGAATGATAATCAAAATGTCGATCTTCCAGCTTTTCTGGGAGAAACGTTTGGAAGGTTTGCGAGCATGTGACCCCGACGGTTATGAATTTGATGCGATGGATCTGCCAAAGAACTTGAAGCCAGTAGGACCATATATCACGGAAGAAACGTTGCTCCAAAGTGTGGCCACTGCATTGCACGTATGTACTCAACCGGTCACGGGACAAACGGGATCAAAGACAGCTTTAGAGAAGAATCCTGGGGTATTTCTCAATCCTGATCAGCCACTAGTACAGGTAGAGTCGATAGCCGAACATTAATTGGCGTGAAGAATGCCCCATAAAATAGTAATCATCAGAACGATTGACAATATTGTGAATTTTTAACATTTAGTTAATAGTATTAATGAATAAATTATTCTGTTTAAGGCGGTCTCGATAGCGGATGAGGATATAAGGAAACAAGAAGACAGAGTGGCTGTCGCAAGAAAAAAATTACAAGATGCCCTACGTGCTTTTCAAACCTAGATTATAGGAACTCGGTGCATTATTATATCACTTGCTCATTTTTTAGTTTTAAGTTCGTTATAAATTATATCATACCACTTTTTGTAATAAATGTTTTTATAAAAAAGAAAGAGAAATGAGGAAAAATGGAAATCTGATTAAGATGGAAGAATCTGATGATATATTTAAAGTATAATTATTGATTTTTTCCAAATATGTAACATATTTTAACGAAATTTCTCGAAACGGAATAAGGTCGGAAGTGCACGAGAATCGACCGTATGGCTGAAGTGCTACCTCTTCTAAAGAATTTCGACGAGTTTCCATTATAATTCGAGAATAATTTGGTTTGCAGCACTTCAAATGGCTGATCGCCATATGCCTAATATTCCCTGTGACATGCAGGATATCGATCCAGCTAACGATGTGCTCACGGAAATAACAATTTTTCAGATTTAGTTTCGGCAGATGCCGTATTTAGTTCGTATCAAACATATTAAATTAACGCACAAAGTACTGAATTACTGAAAGTAAATATTTAAGAAAATTATATTGATCGATATTTTTCAATCCAATGAATAGAGATGTTGTTTTCGAACAACGTGACGTGTTTAATCTAAAATCGATACTGTCCGTGCAATAAATTGAGAATCGGGTTAATAAAACGTCTACATTAATTATGCAAATTGCCGCGTTCAGTTCTTTGCCTGAGAAAGGCCGCGCGGGAATTGACCGGTCCTGAAATATCGCGTCGAATTCGAGCATGGCATGTCATCGTCGCAGGAAATAGCCTGCACGGTTCAATAAAACCTTTGCCAAGCTATCAGCGGCCCAGGATAGAAAACGTGAGATTTAAAAAAACTTATCAAAAGTGGTTTCGAGAATTATCCTACCGTGCGTCATCTCCCACCGGAAATAAGTTGTATTAACCTAGCTATACCTGTTAAAACTTGTTTTTAGATATTTTCATTACAGAGATCCTCATAAATCTTGGGAATTAGGGACCTTCTTTTTTGTTGAACTCTGTTATTCTTGGTGACATATGAAAAATGGAAATATATATTGTTTCGTTTTATTTTTAGTTGCTTCGTCATTCCAAGAAAATCTATAGTAAAAGGACAACGAAAAGTAGAATTAGCCGTTTCAAGATATTTTAGTATGAGATATATTTCTTAGCATTTTCTATATATTGCAAAGGTTCAGGCTAAAACCCTACGACATCCTATGGTGCAAAAACATTAGTAAAGAATTCTTTTAGGATCTTAGACGAGGAGCATGAATGGTTAATCGGGGACTTTATTTTCTCTCAGGAGGACTCCTCATTTTTTGAATGATTCTCAAAAACTATTTTCCAAAGATTTTGTTCCATACGAAAGTATTTTCTAATCGTGTCGCATTAAAGTACCGTGCACCGTGTGTTACTATAGTGTTCGAGGCGTGCATTGTGCCGAGTGCAGTTGTGTATCGAATGCTGGGCCCCAAGGCCCTCTGGGAATCGGTACGTGCCCAGGGCCCCGCACAAAAGAATGCTCAGGGCAGGTATACAGGCAGGCGTCGGTTTTCAGGTAAGCATAAGCGGGGTACCAGGTGGTAACCTCTTTTTTTCTCTCTCCCTGCTTGCCCCCGTCCCCTTCTGCCCTGCCCGGCACCTCACCACCTTCTCGACCAACAGCTGTTTCCCTCCGCGCGGGCAAGGGTCGCTCTCTCCCTTATTGTCAACCAGACGAACAGCCGTTCTCGCCCCATCGCCGGCGTGTATACGCGGGGCACATGTCCCAGTTTAAATCGTTATAACTCGTCGAACACATGACTCGACCCGACGATCCATCCGGTCTAATCGGCACACGTACGGCGCGGCGGCGCGGTATCGTGAGTACGAGAACGCAGCCGTGGCATCGTCGACAACGGGAGTTCAACACCGAATGTCTCCTCTGCATCCCGAGTCTGCATCCCGAGCGATCAATAGCGCTATCGCGTGTTCTTTGCAATAATTTATGCTCACGGAGACGACATTCGGCCCATCGAGAAAACGCTGAGAGGCAACAATGGGAGCGGTGTATAAAATCGTGGAGCGAAATCATAATGCACTAATCGCGAAATAAACACCCGGCGGCGATTTGAATAATTATAGCTGATTGACGCATATTTGTGATCGTTACCGAAAAGTCCACGATTCTAATACATCGCGGATTTCTGTAGGATGTCGCTTGGGATATGCAGCGTGGAATTTAATTATGTATATTGTATATACTGTATACATATATGCATATGTATGCATAATGAACGTCGCGCATGTGAATATATAATGCGCATATCATGCGACGGATGAGGAATTGAAATCGCTACGGGACACGTCCCGAAATAATCTCACTTACCGCCCCGCATGCGCGTGCATAATTCACGCAAATTTTTGCACCGCGCTTGAACGTCAAACACGATGGTCGGTACCGCAACATTATGCTCAGTTACGCGGGATTTAATTCCGCGTCCCGCGCGCACGATTCTCTCTCTCTCTCTCTCTCTTTCTCTCTCTCGGGGGCTCTCACTCGATAGATTATTTAACGCGTGCTTGATCAGCTTGATGCAACGGCGATCTATGCGGTGGCGGCGACGACGGCGGCGTCGCATCGCGTGTAAAGACCTTATCTGGAGCACCATCGAAGATTACATCCTCCGCTGTCTTGGACGTAATATAGCCGATGTATAAATAGACGCTCCTCTACGGCGCGTTATCGATCTTTCGCGCCAGGCAGTATATTCGACCATCGGAAGTTGACCGACTTGACTATACTATTTGTATCGGGGTTACTGGCCGCAAAGTATTTCGGATTTATCTCGTCGCGAAGGGACGCGGACGCGAGGAGACGACGCGATTTTTAAAGTCTCGATTGACAATCGCGCGGCGAAAGCCGACGGCGAGTAGGAAAACGACGAATAGGTGACTCGGGCTGTGCGGGCCTCGGAAAGGAGAAGAAGGAGGAGGAGGAGGAGGCGTTGGTCCATCCAGCGTGTTTCGCACGGAAGAACAACTGCGGGACCTTCGACTTCCAACAACGGCTGCTATACGTAATCGACGTCGACAGACTTTCTCTCTCGCGGACCCGCGAGAGGAGAGGAGAGCGGGCGTGTGCCTATAACCGATCGTGCTCTTTCCATTTTCACCGGGTCCCTCGACGTCGCGTCGTTGCGTCGGTGGCGGAGAGAAACACACACCTATCTCTCCGTTTCCGTTTTTAACATATCCCATACCGTTTCAGCACACAAAGAGCACAATAATTACGTAAAGTATAAAAGGGAGCCATTGTAAGGGAAGGTGAAAGAAAAAAATATTTTTAGCTCGTTTCCGATTTAAACTTTCGTCGCGATCGCCTGAACGGGTGATCGAGTCTTTTCTCGTCACGACGCGTAATATAACGTTGCAAATTACGTGCATCTCTCTTTGACTCCTCTGACGTGTTTGCAAATTACGTAATATTTTCTTTACAGCTATATGCTCGCGCGTGGAACAACGTCCGCGAAAAATAACTAAATTTTTATCCACCACGAGCCTCAAGCGAACGATCAATTTCAATGTCTTTTGATAACCGTCAAGCGAAATTTTTTCGAGCTTCCGTTTCGTATCTGCACGAGAAGACATGCGGGCACATGGGCCGATAGATCTCTCTTCCAGCCTGACTATATTACGGTTTCCGTTCGGCCCATTGTTCGTTTTCATGGAAAAAGAAAAAGGCATTCGGGTACGGAATTGTATCGAATCGGTCTAAAAAGCGGACCTCCCTTTGGCTTTCCTTCGTCGCCACGTTTCCCTTTTGTACTTATGAATGGTGCGCTCAGTTATTTTGCAGATTTTACAGACAGCAATGGAAACGTAAGAATGATTTTTCGATATCTACGATAATAACAATAGCTCGCGATAAGATAAATTGTTTCAGATTAGTTTTCCCATCCTATGCGACGATGCGAGGGAGCTCGATAGCGTATAATAAACAAAGATGAATCAAGAAAGAGGCACGTGCACGCTGAATAAGAAATATTTATAAACGTTTAATCGGATATTCTAGAATATCGTCTATATTTATAACGTTCATGGCACATCGCAGCAAGTCCGTTATCGAATGATAAATTCGAATTCTTATTATTTCTGGAAAAATTCGAAAGTATCAGCTTCCACTGCAAAGAACACGTTGGCTGCGCATGCTGCATTTCGAGAGAGAGAGAGAGGAAGAGAAAATTCTTCTCCGGCTTCGCCAGGCCAAAGTTTACAAAGGACTTGTACTTTGTCGTTCGACAATACAGCCGTAGGGGGTCCGACAAAGTTGTATTCTCGTAAAATCGAGAAGAGACAGTGAGGAATTTTCCGTTTTGCGGAGAAAGGCTTCGCCACGTCCGGACGCGAGTAAATCTTGCATCGGAAACTCTAAAATACTTCTGTTGCAGCCCCGGCATGGCATGCATCCTTTAACGGACATTGCGATTTTTACGTTTCCGAGAGCTTGCATTTTGCATTGGACTCTTACGAGACGGGCAAAATGGAGTTCGGGATTTATTATTCAAATCGTTTTCTCTCAGCTGTAAGGGATCTTAGCGCGCGTAATCTTCGTGTATGCATCTTATTTGCGTTCGAGATGAAACGGCCTCGAGTCCGCGCGCGCGGGCAGGCTTAAGCGTACCTCGCAGGGAACTCTAATAAGTGACAAGTGTTGCGTCTGCGGTGAAGAAAATGAAATTCCGCGAATGGACCCGGTGCGCACCGGGGGTATATTTAGAAAGGCGTTGCGCCTTTATCCGCGCTATCATCGTTTAACTGGCTATTTGTGTGTGTGTTTTCGCCGTTGTGCAACGGCCTCTCATAGTCCGCCACCGTTGCGGTCTCTCGGTAGCCAGTAAGGATATATCTCTGCCTTCTGTGCGCGCGGGCGAGCGTGGGCGTCCGCCCGCAAGATTTTGTGGATAACCAGATATCGAATGGCCGGATCGATATACCGGCACATTGCGCGATAATTCGAGCATTGTAGTCCTCCCGGATTCGCCTCGAGGGACACGGGGCACACAACACGTGATGGCGTTATAGTCATTCGGTTCGTGAAAGCCTTGTGTAACAGTTATCTATTAATAGTACGTAATTTCAGTACATTTCCCCGTATTCGGGCAGAATATTGCAACAGTTTCATTTCATCGCTTGATAAAAGCTTATATCGAGTATAAATTAGATAAGAAATTCTCGTTCAAATGTTTCTGCGACTAATGTCGTCGTCGTCGTCCTCGTCGTCGTCATCGTCGCCGACTCAGAGGCCAGCAATGCGGTTCTCCGGCGTTACTGCACCCCGGCGATCGAAATCGAAAGAAATATCCTCTCCGCCGAGTGCTCGAGCGAGGCACCGTCGCTTCGTATACCTTATATACGCACGCGTGCACGATACATACACGCACGGGCCGCGCGGCGCGGCGCCGGCGGTGCGTTTATCCGCGTGTAAGTACATCGGCGAGGACGAGGCGGCGTGGCGCACCACGGGAGTCGCCGGGTTTCGCCAAAGCAACGACAATGATCGCAACGTGGAAGGCAACCGGTTGCACGCCGTAAAAATGCGACGAGCGACGCGGAACACCGAGGAGAGGAGTCGGTTTAACGCGTCGGAGCGGTCAGAAAAGCTTCCTTTTCGGCGTCGAGGCTGTAGGTTCGGCCGTATCCTTTGACGCTGGGCATCGAGACGGTTCCACGACTCCCATGGGAGTCGTATCCTAAGTTAGCCTAAGTAGCAACAAGACGCCACGTGTTCGTGCGAAATTTTCCGTCGTTTCTACCTTTCGTCACATTTTCCTCGTCGTGAAACGTTCCTCGTGGAATTTTTGTAACCTCGGTGATTTTTGTAATTTTTTTTTTTTTTTACAAATCAATTAAATTCAATTTATCGGTGCTACAAGACTCTCTTTCTCCAAAATAATTAGTCCTTGGATCGTTCGGCGGAGATTATCGATCATCTCTCTCCGTTGCCCCGAATTAATCGACGCGACGCGTAGCGGCGATTGGCAACCGAGCATGACGCGTTTGCGCGAATATAATCCGTCCGTATACGATTGCGTTTCGCCGTTTCGCATGCGAGAAAAGAGACGACCGTGGAGGGACGGGAGTTTGTAAAATCATACGTACGATAACGCCGAGGTATTTACGAGCGAGCCGCGAGAGCACGAGCAGTCGGCAGGTGCGATCGTTGGAGCAAAAGGTGGTTGGTTGTCTCGAGACAGCCTTGAAGGAGGAGAAAGAGAGATCGGCGGCGATGTGCACACGGGTCGTTGCTTTCGGCATGCGATGAGAAACAAAATTAGTCGCTCGCACCTTGGAGCGAATTCATCGTCAGGTAGGCCGATCGACGACGATCGCCGGTCGCGCCGAATCGCCGAGGTCTCTCGTCTCGCTCTCTCGCGCGAAAGCGCCGCGTCTCTCCCTCCTTATCGGATTACGCGATTACGTCAAAGCCAACGGAGGCGCTCGCAAGGTGCGCTTTAACGAGCCGTCGCGCATCGGTCCGATACGTGGAAAACAATGAGTCGCGGGTATATATTCGGTGGATCCCTGGAACGGGCGCCCGACGCGGCCGCTGCCGTCGCCGTCCCTCGTCTGTCCTCGAGAATGGAGGACACGGGGGCCGACGCCGCCGATCCGGCGTGGGGCCTCCGGGACTAAAAATCGAGCAATCGAGTGCCCGTGAGTGCTCGGTCGGAGAGAGGACGAAGGGTCGTCGGCAGAGAACAATGGATCACGTTTGCGCCTCGGTTCAAGGTCCGCGCGAACGAGCGAGCGAGCGAGCAAGCTCGCTCCCGCGAATCGCGTCTAGATCGGTTTTAGAGAGACGGAATCCTCTTTTCACTCTTACTTAACGAAACCGCTAGTCGGGCAGGTGGTCGGTCGGTCGGCCAGGCCCGGTCGTGATTCGCGAATTAGGGGGAGGGAAGGGAGGAGGGGGCCGCCGCCGATTATATTGGGCCGCGACGGGCATTCGCTCTCGGCGCTCGGCCTTGTCCACGTCGGCGCGGACCAGGCATGTCGTGCGACGTCCTGCCGCGGGCTCGTCACCCGATAAATTCCGATTACTCATAGTTACACATCCCACATATCGATTATCGTCCATCTTTGCATGGGAATAGAAACGTAGCTATAATATATCTCTGCCGCGAATATATTTTATATTTTACACATTTCACATTTTACAAAATGTAGAATTCGGAAGCTGATTTTTCCGATTGTATAAGTATTAGACTGCGCGCGTACGCAAAGAGAATGAAAATTTAGACGGAGAATGGAAATTCCCTCGAATGCTATCGCATCTATATCTATTGCCAAATTTAGGATGGGCGATATGCTGAAATGGGATAATGTTCAAAATCCTGTTAGCTAAACAGCAACGTTGAAATCGTATTACATTGATCGCGAATGGCCAAGAGTGGTAGAGCTGACGGCGGTAACGCCGGTGTCGTCGGCCAAGGTTCAAGGACGATATAATCGAGGGAACTTAGCGCGACAAGTCGCGAGATCCTCGTCCCTCGGCTATCTGCGGAAAAAAAAATCAATTAAGTAAATCGCGGGAGCGATAAACGCGGCGGATTCTCTCCCCGTTACGCTCTCCTGAGGGATACATTCGACCGGGATATCCAATTCGCTAGTAATACGAACGCGCGATTTACTCATTTACTATCCAAACGCGACTCTCGCGAGTCGCTGTTATTTCGCCGTATTCGTAAACGTCTTTTCCCTCGCGTTCATCCCGCCCGCGCCGCTAAAACGGAGAGATAACCGCGTTAGCGCGGAAAAAGTGTGTTGGCGCACCTCGCGCACGGATCGTGCGCGAAGCCCGTTGACGGCCCAGGGAGGAGAGAAGAGCAGAAAGAGCGTTATACGATCCACCTAGGTCGCTGCACTTTGACCCGTTCGACATTCGTGGGGAAAATCACCGTATATATATCGCCGCGGACGACGTTTATTTCGCCGGGAGATCTTAAACTCTGTACATTCGAGAGTAACGCTTGATCGTGTTACAAAATCATATGTTACAAAATCGGAAGGGAGAATCGATTCGCGATCGCGACGGAGGCGCGTCTTAAGGGTTTCGTCGAGAGGCACCCTCTCGAGTCTCGGGGCCGGCTCTTAGGGGATTCGCACCCCCGGCGTCGAGCCAAAAACACGGTCGTGTTTTTTCAGTCAATCCCCTATACGGGTCGGGGATTCGTCCGTCCGCTCCGGGAAAACGGTGGAGCCGACCGCGTCCGGCGCGGAGGGACGTAAACGTTGGCGTTTCCACGGGGAAACTTGGCGAAGGTTCGAGCGGATGCACGAACGGAGGGGGTTGTTGCGCGTGGTGTGTACAATCGAGAACGGGAGTGCACGCATTCGTAGCGTCGAAGGAGCCGAGGCCGAGAAGAACGAGCGCGACGACGCGCCGCTCGTTCGCTCGCTCGCACGCACGCTCTCGCTCGCTCGCTCCCTCGCCGTTTGGCGTTTGCGTCGCGTTTACGTATTGCGGCGCGGTGCCGGTAGGTGCGCCGCGCTCGGTGGTGGGGAGGGGTGGCGCGTCCCACGTGACCCGGCCGGCCAATCAGGCGCGCGCATAGCCGGCGTCCGGCACATGGCGGCGCGCCGGCTTCGACAGCCGCCGCAGTCGCAGTACGTCGCAGTCAGTCGCAGTGGTAACACGAGCGAGAGGGTAGTTGCACGCGCCTGCCTTCGAGAGAGGAAAGATCGCGGTTGAAGAGAGGCGAAGAACGAGAGAGAGAAAGAGAGAGCGAGAGGAGCGTGGGACAGACCGAGGGAGCGAGGCGGTGAGGATCGCGAGCGGGAAAGAGAAAGAAGGGAGCGGAAACGGAACGGACGAGCGCGCGCGCGCCCCTTGCCTTCGTTTTCAGTGTTTCGGTCTCGCGCCGCGACGGCTCGACCTCTCGAACGGCCAAGTCAGTCGGCCGGTGACAAGGCAGCCGTACAACGCGCGACACGAATCGTCGTTACGTCGCCCGTCGGTCGTCGGTAGAGTCGGGGAGAGAGAGAGAGAGAGAGAAAGAGAGAAAGATCGCGACGGAGAAGAGGAGGAGGAAGTGGAGGTGGAGAAACGAACGAACGAAAGCATCGGTCGAAGACCAAGCGACTGTACGAGTAACACGCGAGAGCGGAGCGGCCACGGGATCGCTCTTCGAACACGAACAACCGCACAAATCACACGCGCGTTCGGCGGCGGGACGAAGCAGTGGGGATATCGGGAAGGCCATTTTCGTTGCCGGTGCGTGCGTACGTGCGGCATAGACGACGCAGACCGGCGTGTGCCTCCCGGGCGAAGAGAACTCGTGCGCGACTGACCACTATTTTTCGCACTCCGCGTCGTCGTCCGTCGTCGTAGCTCGTCGTAGCTCAAGATACGCGTTGCGAGCGGAAGAGCTAATCGTGCCGACGGCATTCCCGCTTCCGCGCGTCGGTGCGTCGAATTTCCGAGTTTTTTTTTTTTTACGCGTACGTTACAGTCGCAGCGTAGCGTCGCGACGCCAGTTCCGGTGGAAGTTGTAATCCTTCGTCGCGTCGTTCCCCGCACGTCTTCGAGGCAGCGCGGAACCGAACCGCTCGTTTGTTCGATAAAAGAGAGGACTACGTCGTGTCGTCGTCGTCGTCCCGGTGAACGGGTGTCCCGGTCGACCGCAGCGCGCGGACTCTAGTGCAACGTTTCCAACGAACCCACGCCACACCATCGCGTCAACGTCGTCTATCGTCTTTTCCAGTGTCGCACGATACGAGAATTTGTAATCGACCGAAATGCCGACGAGTTTGTTCAGCGAGATGGATCGGGGCTCGAACGGCGGCAGCGCCGGCGTCACCTTCGAGGAGCAGCGCGCCCTGCAGCTCGCCTTCGAGCTGTCGATGCTCGGCATCCCGGAGGGCTCGTCCGGATGCCCCGGCGCCGGCACCGGGAACGGCACCACCAACGACCCGGACCCGCTGCAGGCCGCGCCGGCCGTCTTCGAGGAGGCGCGTTCCAAGAAGAGCCAGAACATGACCGAGTGCGTGCCGGTGCCCAGCAGCGAACACGTGGCGGAGATCGTCGGCCGACAGGGTAAGTGTCTGTGCATATATCTATTATCTGTGTGTGCGTGTGCGCGCGCGTTTGGCTCGCCTGCGAAATCTTGCGTCTCTCTCCAGGCTATTCTCTTCGCGCCTTCTTTTATCCGGGCGAATTCTCTCTCGCGGCGCATTTACTGCCAGAGGACCGTCGTTATCAATCTCGACACGGCCGCGAGACGCGCGGGGGGTTACTCGAAAGAGGATCTCGAAATTCTCCCGGATAAATAATAAAACGATCAAAATTGCGAGCCTTGAAAAAAAAAAAAGGGATAACCCGAGCGTAGACGATGGATTTATTGCTATCTTCGTAATCGACGTTTTTTCTCGCCGGTTAAACGACACCGTGAGAAAGGTGTCCCTGGGACGACTCGAGGTCCCATCGGTACTTTTCTCAAAATCGCGTCGCGACGCCGAGCGTCATTTTCTCTCTTTTTTTTTTCTCCTTTCTTTCTCCTTCTTTCTCATCCCTCTCCTCTCGCGCGTCCCGGTCGGCGGAGCCGCGCGCGATTATAGCGCCACTGACAGTTCATTGGCACGGCCGTATAAACGCGACGCACGCCGCGGGAAACTTGATACCGGCCACGATAGAGCAATTAAATCCAATTTACGTACGAATTTCGTTTCGCGCGCGCGAGCGCGCGTGCGTGCGACTTGGACCGGGCGGGAGATCCGGTCCTCCCTCTCCCCGTCTCCTCCCACCCCAAACCTGTCGTAGGTCGCGGTCGTTACGGCCCCGTGCCTTTTCCTTCTTTTTTCCCTCGCCCGTTTCTCAACGACCGCGGCGGAATAGTGTGTTTACGATTTCTATCGCGCGATACCATACGATGCGACACGATACGTCGCGCTCGCGCGCCAGCGCGACTCATAAATAAAGACGCGGTTATATTCTTGCATTGCACGGGCCCGGCCTACGCCGAGAGACCGATGACTCTCTCTCTCTCGGTCTCAACCTTGGAGGAGACCGGTCACCGTTCTGCGAAACGGCTAATTCGTCTCGCCGCGGCTTCTTTTATCCGTGCCGCCGACGAATAGTCCCTTCTTGCCTTTTTGTTCCGCCACGTTGCTCCGCCGAGCGAAATGCCCCCGAAACGGCATTGCGTTTCGAACAGCGCCGGAAATGCAACCGGACCGCCCGATGTGAAATTCTCAATTGGCTCAAGTGAAATGAAAGTATAACTATTAGAAAGGGCCTCGAGATGTGTCACGCAGCACACCTCGTTGCACTTTGCCCAAAGTCTTCCCTGAAGTACCAGGCATTTCGAGTTTTCGAGCCTTTTCAAAGGCTTAGGCTTATCATTAAGGCTACTCGTTTCGAAGTCTCAATTAACCTTCGTAATGTTTATCACGCGTCGCACGATCGTCGTGTTTACGTAGTCGAAATCGGGAAGTATCGTATCCATAGACCAATTACTACGAGGAAAGAAGATATCTCGTTAATAAGAACGTACACGTCCTATATTTAATCAAGTGGCGCGCGAGCGATAAGAATCGTTCCTTCGTTTATCGAGCGATAATCTTGTCGACGAGGCAAGGAGGAAGAGAGGGCGGGGGGGGGGGACGCGCCCCCCATTGTCGAACGACGCGTCCAAGTTCGTGCGCGTCTCGCGGAATGTTTAGAAATTCAAACAACGGCCGCGGCACGTGGCCTTGCCATTTAAATCTTAACGTCTGTCAGCGGCGATTGTGCGCCGATCAATACCGTTCGGAGAGAACCGACGTACGTACCCCACGTCCCCCCCGTGCATCGTTCGCGCCGCATACGTGTGTATATGTATGCATGTATCTCGTGTGAAAAGTTTCGCGAATAGTCGGGTGAATCCGCGACGACGCCTCGTCGTGTTTCGGTCGATCGATCTTAGAATTCGAAGAATGAACCGAGTGAAACCGTCGCCGCGGCGAGATCGCGGAGACGCCGCTTTCCGTTGCGTCGGAGAGGAAGGAAGCCGGGGTACGGCTTCGCGGTCATCGTCACGACCGACCGCAGCTGATATAATACTGGCCTGCGACGACACGTCGGGCCCTCGACGCTCGCGGAGCGACGTTACAGTCCCGCGGGGTGTACAGTCCGTCGCGCTTGAAATTCCGCACCTTGCCTCGAGAGTCGCGCCGTACGTGCTCCGCGTTCTCCCATCCGCTGCCCTTCCGGATCCCGCGCGTGCTTTTTAATCGAACGTTTTATCGCTCCTCTGCTCCGAGGTGAACTAAACGCGGTCCAAATTTTTCCAGAATGCTGATCCGACTCGAGTCGCTCGGCCTTCGAGTCTCGGATCTACGTACGCGCGTTTTCGAGCCGGTATTTGAGCGTAAATCGTCCCGTGTATCGGGTATTCCTTCGCGATGCGCTCGCGCGTCCACTGCGACCATTGATCGACTCTCGTGAATGAGACGGTGCCACGATTGCACGCTGACTTGAGTTGCCACGTGTTTTTGTTTTTTTTTTTACGTGTTGCTACGAACGAACAGCAGTTATGAATAGTCCTTTCAAGATTTGGCTCGAAATTCCTCGAATTCTTCCGTTGACGCACCGTGAAACTGAATTAGACGATTTACGCGTATCCTGGCCTGGTTTCTCCGATACGAGATGCATTGCGTCTCGTAGATAGAGCCACGGTTCCCCGCCGCGGTCAGGCCGCGTCCGCCGCGAAACCAGTTTGACATACCTGGCGTGAATCATTGCGAGAGTTCGCCTGTTCGCGTGGCCGAGCGGCCCGCCGACTCTGTTCCGGCGGTTTCGCTCGTCGACGCTCGTCAGGATCTCTCTCCCCTAGAGATCGCGATCCTCCTGCGAAATGCGATTCGAATCTTATGTCGATTCGACGATGACGTCTGATGAGTTTGATACGCCGTTCCATCGTGAGGATGTGGCTATTTGTTGATCATTTTCGTTCGCCGTGCCTCTCTTCGCCTCTCTTCTTCTCCTCTCTTCTTCTCGTTCTCGCATTATCTCTCTCGGGTCTCCGTCCCTTGCGATTGGCCGTTGTTGTCGGTTCTCTCTCTCTCTTTCTCTTTCTCTCTTTCTCTCTTTCTCTCTCTACTCGACTGTCGATTATATACATCTCTTTCTCGTCTGCTCGCGGCTCTCCTGGACCGGAAGTTGTAATGAGTGCCTCTGTCGCCAGACCCATAGCCTCGCGTAGCATCGTGGCCAGCGATGACGTTACTTTGGAAATATCACGGCCGGTTATCCAGGTCGTTAGCTTGTGCACCGCGTGACTTCGAGAGGGAACTTGATTCACGAGAGAGAGAGGAATGGAAAAAAAAAGGAAAAATATGTAATTGCACCTTCCAGGAATTGTGAGAGCGCAAGGAGCGGTCGTGTGCTATTCTGATATAGAATCTATTTTGTTTTCTTTTTTCTTTAATTCCAACACTTTGTACATACGTCTTGTTTTTCAATTCTTGTATCCAGTTGGAAACTGTGAAATTTTCAAAATTATATTATTATGTCTCTTTTTTAGCCTATTATTAAAATTATGTTCGTTTTATGAAACATTTAGAAAATTAATGTTAAAAGATTAAATCTAAAGTATTTTTGTGAATTGTAAAACTTCTATTTATGAATTCTACCATATTTTTTGTACATTTCTCATGCATGGGTCACCTTAATCACAGGTAATCTTGAGCTCACTTCCGCAGTCGTCCTAAATTCGGACTACGGAAAGAGATTGTTTGACAATCGTAAAGTTGACTGATAAAGGTACCGAAAAATGCGCGCTCGGCGTGTACGGCATATACGTAACGTTCCTCTCACAAAGCCGTGGAAAATTCAAACATAAAACGAAAGAAGGAGAGAGAGAGAGATAGGAGGCGCGGCCTTTCACGCGTATTGTTCGCGAGCACGTGCCGCATGTCCGCGGGTCTCGCGATCCTGCGCCACGCCGGCCAGGATTTTCTACAGAAACGGAAGATTTGTGTCACCGATGAAATCGTGTTAATGGGTTCCGCGTCGTCGTTAACGCGTCCTCGTGAAAAGCAAGGGGGAAAGAGACGCTACGACGGCGGAAGGAGAAAGACAGGGAATCTCCTTCGGTTTTTACGACTCGTTCGTGGACGTAGACCGGGAACGCTCGGATAGGGTATACTGGTTATGTACGCGGTAATCTCACAAACACATACACATACACGCACACACACGCACATACACACATACACACATACACACATACATACATACATACATACATACATACATACATATACGAATCTGGAAATTCTGACCTCACCACGTGCCGTCTAGGATCTACTCTCTCTTTTCGTGAAATATCGCAATCTTATCAGCGGGGAATATGTATCTTAGGGAAAATATTTGTCAAATGACGTGGTTACCATCATTTTCTGTTTTCATTTTAGTTCGAATTATCGATGAAATTCTCGTTTTACATATTGTATTATATGTATGCTCAAGATAATGTTTCTTACATATCCAGATTTTTTGTATTTCCCCGCAACATGATAGCAGAAGAATGTATTTCCAACGAATGACTAATACAAGATAAGATTTAATACTTAATAAAAAAATTAAGTTTAATTATCAGGCATTCGGCCAACAGATGTACGTCTGACGACTTCGGGTTCTCATTATTCCTCCTTCGCATCTCTGTTTTTACTATAAGGCGTTAATTGTCGAGTGAAAAGGGAAACTTTCTTATATTTTCTAGATAATCGCGCGGCTAACGGCCGAGAACGCAGTAAGGCTCGTTTGCATTAATGAAGAGCGTCGACAAGTGCACGCGCCGCGTTCCGATTTCTTTGATCATTTATTTTTACGTGGCAAGAGTGTGCCGGCCACTGTGTCAGTCATGTTGTCGATGGACGTATTGGGATTTACATTAACCTGAATTTGTCATCATTTAACAGAAATTAATACTCCACGACTTTGTAGCGCGGCTTCTTTCGAGAGGTGCGGGAGACTCGCCTCTGCACGCGCGCATACAAATGTATTGCGTCGTATATTTCTCGATACACTCCGTGTGCACCGCGGTCGTTTTCAAA